AGAGAAGTTTACAATTAATTGGCGATTACCCAGACATCTAGCTTTAGAAGATGGCGACGACAACAACAACAGCTGCCACGTTACCGGACCGTTTCGGGATTCACGACATGCCTTCGCGGCAACCGCAGTGGGTGAAGAGCATAAACTTAATCGTGTTTTCCTGTGTTATACCACACCGGACGATGTGGTGCGGCAACGAAGCACTTTCTACGGCTGTGATGAATAGAAGGGTCTGTTGGTGGTGGCTGAAATACACATCAGCTGCTGGGAACGCCATATGCAACTTCGGCACTGTGGCAGCAGAGTTAAATGATAACGATCTCAACGCTGCGGGTAAGCAAAGGAAGTGAACCCTGGTCGAAATACGATGCAAAGCTAGGTTTATTTGGTTGTCTACAGCAGCTTGAATTTTGCACAGAGACCTTAACATTTCAGCTTATCCTGAATTCATATACCATTGTCTTAGTTCGATAGATGCCACACGAACCTCCCGTTTATCTGCACGTTTTCACCTTAACTGTTAATATTTAATGCTAACATTGTTTATTTTTATATAAGATTCCTGAAAATCTGGGTTCAGTTGCGCAAGTAATTCAGCGCAAAGATTATCAATAAACCTACTTTCGCCACACTCGACTCTACGCAACGTAGGTACAAGGTTAAACTTATGAGGAAGCAAAAGAAAAATCAGTAACTGCTAGAAGGCTGATCTCCCTCACGATTGTGACATGTAGAAAGCTATTCTCTCATGCTACCACTATGCTCTTCGTTTCAACGGCATCAACCAAGAGAGCAGTACATTGAGGATCAAGCATATTATGTCGTAAGAGCTAGAAGAAGCGTCTGCTTTTCAACGGCATTACTTCAGTTACTATATGCAAATGTGCACATGAAATATAAGCAAAACGTAACTAAATGTCTGCTTGTCACTGAGCTCAGATGCAAAGTTAAACATTGAGATATATTAAGGGTATAGGGCTTAAGATATATTAAAGGAAGTAGCAAATGAGGAAAGACAAAAACCGCAACGGCAATAACTGCCAAGCGATTTTCACAGTCCACTGACTTCTACTTTCTTCCCATATAGCGGTAATTATTTATAAAGCAAGCATAAGTTTACGCTCTCCTGCATGCACGTGTGGCTGTCAAGAATGTTCTACAACCCGACTTATGCACCCGTTAGCCATTCTGAACGAAAGCTACTGCAGCATAAAGCCCGAGAAGAACCCCGGAGGAACATGATTCTTGTCAAATGTCTGATGTTTGAAAAGAATAGAAGCTCGCTGAAAAATCTGTGCGACACACTGGATATGGTTTAAACCTCTGCGGTTAAAGCCGCAGTTTGAAGGACTTTGACATCGAAAAAAGATGGAAGCATTTCTATTCTACCGTTGATTAAAGCACGTTGGTACAAGTAGCGATATTAGTGAGTTCTCTGCTGACTGCCCGTCTGGCGGAAAACGTAGGCCATTTAGTAAAGCCTCGTACACAGCTGTCCCTGCTACCTAAACGGAATGAATGAATGCATAAATTTATAAAAAGCCACAGTTCGACAGATCAGCGTTAAACAGTTGTCGCTGATTACCCATCGACTTCTCCTCTATCCGATGCTTACAAGTATCAGCGCAAATACGGACAAGTGCATGCGTTGGGAGTAAGTGTGGATAAATCACGCAAATGACGGACGGGCGAAACCTGCATCAGCGACGAGTTAAGACAGCGAAACACAGCAGATACATACATGTATAAAGACTATAAATTATCGTACGGTCACCTCTTCGTCAACGGGCTCCACGAACATCTCAGATATGTTGAAGGACGACGACCTGAAGTTCGGGGACGGCAGCGGTTGCGGCTGCGGCTTTCTCGAATCGCCCAGAAAGTTGTTGTACACGTGACGGCAATTTACTTCATCCTCCCTACAAATAAAGTAGTGTTCAGTAGACCGGAAAAGGGCAGTGTCGCTGCTGTGACACTGGCAAAACGGCAACCGCGGCCTTGGACACGATTACGTCCATGACCGTGTCGCGTCGCGTCGTTGCTGGATCAGCCGATCACAAATATTAACGCCTGCAGTCCAGTTTGACTCGGCTCGCTGCCATCGCTCGATCTCGGTGAAAATGAACTAAATGGTTGGCCCTCGTTCTCTCTCGAACAAATGTCACCAACTCGGTGTCAGGATGAGTCGACGCAGAGTCGTCAAATGCCCAACACAACCTTTTTTCGATCGCCGGTCAGTCCAAAATCGCCCAATTGCCCTATATGACTGCTTACTCTAATGGAACCAATTTTAAAATCCTAACGGCTAATTCATCACCGCCTACGTGATCGATTTTGCTTTTCATCAATAACGATATATGCAATCGGTCAGACGAAAATATCGATAGCCGCGCATGTGAATTGCGACGCATGTTGTACGCTCCTAGCCGCCGGCTTCTTCCTTAAACAGCATTACGCAACCTTCCAGTCACGACATGCTCTGATTCAGCGACCGATATTTTGTACATCATATAAAGGAAAAACATGTAAATCGATAGTCGAGCAGCTGCGTTAAGAGTTTCGAAGAATTCGCCTCGCGCCGTAAATCATTTGATTGAACAAGTGAGCTCATTACTAAAGAGATGACGTGTAATGCCACTTTTCGGAAACGAAGTAGATGGCCAGTCGCCGTCGTTGCTTGACTAAATGAAGAATGTATGCCCACAACACATAGTGGATGTGAAAAAGGGCCCGGTAGAGCGGCTACAATACTC